TCCCTCTCTATGTCTTTCCTCTTCCTCTGCCTTCTCCCTCTCTATGTCTTTCCTCTTCCTCTGCCTTTCCCTTTCTATGTCTTTCCTCTTCCTCTGCCTTTCCCTTTCTATTCTTTCCTCTTCCTCTGTCTTTCCCTTTTTATGTCTTTCCTCTTCCTTCTGTCTTTCCCCTTTCTAATGTCTTTCCTCTTCCTCTGCCTTCTCCCTTTCTATGTCTTCTTTCCTCTGTCTTTCCCTTCTATGTCTTTCCTTTCTATGTCTTTCCTCTTCCTCTGCCTTCTCCCTTTATATGTCTTTCCTCTTCCTCTGTCTTTCACTTTCTATGTCTTTTCCTCTTCCTCTGCCTTCTCCCTCTCTATGTCTTTCCTCTTCCTCTGTCTTTCCTTTCTATGTCTTCCTCTTCCTCTGCCTTCCCTTTCTATGTCTTCCTCTTCCTCTGTCTTTCACTTTCTATGTCTTTCCTCTTCTCTGTCTTTCCCTTTCTATGTCCTTTCCTCTTCCTCTGCTTCTCCCTTTCTATGTCTTTCCTCTCCTCTGCCTTCTCCCTTTCTATGTCTTTCTCTTCCTCTGTCTTTCCCTTTCTATGTCTTTCCTCTTCTCTGTCTTCCCTTTCTATGTCTTTCCTCTTCTCTGTCTTCCCTTTCTAGTCTTTCCTCTCCTCTGCCTTCTCCCTTTCTAATGTCTTTCCTCTTCTCTGTCTTCCCTTTCTATGTCTTTCCTCTTCCTCTGCTTCTCCCTTTCTATGTCTTCCTCTTCCTATGCTTCTCCCTTTCTATGTCTTTTCCTCTCCTCTGCCTTTCCCTCTCTATGTCTTTCTCTCCTCTGCCTTTCCCTTTTTATGTCTTCCTCTTCCTATGCCGTCTCCCTTTCTATGTCTTCCTCTTCCTCTGTCTTTCCTTTTTATGTCTTTCCTCTTCCTCTGTCTTTCCTTTTTATGTCTTTCATCTTCCTCTGTCTTTCACTTTCTATGTCTTTCCTTTCCTCTGCCTTCTCCATTTCTATGTCTTTCCTCTTCTCTGCCTTCTCCCTCTCCTATGTCTTTCCTCTTCCTCTGCCTTTCCCTTTCTATGTCTTTTCCTCTTCCTATGCCTTCTCCTTTCTATGTCTTTCCTCTTCCTCTGCCCTTCCCTTTCTATGTCTTTCCTCTTCCTCTGCCTTATCCCTCTCTATGTCTTTCCTCTTCCTCTGTCTTTCCCTTTCTATGTCTTTCCTCTTCCTCTGTCTTTCCCTTTTATGTCTTCCTCTTCCTCTGCCTTTCCTTTCTAGTCTTTCCTCTTCCTCTGCCTTTCCCTTTCTATGTCTTTCCTCTTCCTCTGTCTTTCACTTTCTATGTCTTTCCTCTTCCTCTGTCTTTCCCTTTCTATGTCTTTCCTCTTCCTCTGCCTTCTCCCTTTCTATGTCTTTCCTCTTCCTCTGTCTTTCCCTTTCTATGTCTTTCCTCTTCCTCTGCCTTCTCCCTTTCTATGTCTTTCCTCTTCCTCTGCCTTATCCCTCTTCTATGTCTTTTCCTCTTCCTCTGCCTTCTCCCTCTCTATGTCTTTCCTCTTCCTCTGCCTTTCCCTTTTATGTCTTTCCTCTTCCTCTGCCTTTCCCTTTCTATGTCTTTCCTCTTCCTCTGTCTTTCCTTTCTATGTCTTTCCTCTTCCTCTGCCTTCTCCCTTTCTATGTCTTTCCTCTTCCTCTGCCTTCTCCCTTTCTATGTCTTTCCTCTTCCTCTGTCTTTCCCTTTCTATGTCTTTCCTCTTCCTCTGCCTTCTCCCTTCCCTGTTTCCCGATTCGATTTGGCGTCTCCTTTCCTCTGTTTTCCTCCTTCACCCTGTCTTCTCCCCTCCCCCCCTATTCTTTGGCTTCCCCCTTCGCTTTGTCTCCTCCCTTTTCCCCCTTTATCTCCCTGTCCCTGTCTCTCCCCTTACCCCCTACCCCTCCCCCTCCACCCCCCCAACCATAACACTGCAGTCTCCCATTCCCCTCCCTTTAAAATCTCGACATAGGTACGACCATTATGTTTTACGTCAGAAATGTACGTGCATTCATTATTTGTTATCATTCCTATAAACATTTTTGACATATGTAGTTGAGCTTCTGTGTAACCAAGGCCAAAAGGATACTATCTACTTCGTGCTTCCGGATAAATATGTATAAATATATTCTGGATCCCGGTATTTGTAAAGCGTTTAAAATTCGACGTTTGTGCATGGGACCCGTTACTACGAAATTTCTTTAAAGTGAAATCATTATCAAAGAGAACATCTGGCGAGTTCAAATAAAGTTAAATGATACAATTCTTTGATAAACACGATATAAAAACTTGTTCGATGTATCTTGGACGCTGAGGAAAATGGATCAACTGCCTAAAGTTTTTTTTAAGTGTTCCAGTGGTACAAGAGCTGTCAGAAATTTTGTGAATCCGCATCAGATAAAGCAACAGGCCTTTTGTGCCAAGGGAGAGGCAGTCCATGTGAGATTCGTTGTCTGGGAACTTAGTTCGTGTGAAAGCTAA